CTGTGCATTGTTGCCCAAATCAAATTCTGGAAGTGGTCATTCAACTAGATCTGTTACAAAAGGACAACTGATATTAATGTTTTAAAAGATGTCCTGAGTATACTGCAGATCATTTATGACTAACATAACTGCAAAAACCAACCAATAACATTTGTTGCTTTACAGGAAGTTGGTGTCAGCTGCCTGTATCCTGTTGGCTGCCAAAATCAGCAGTGACTTGAAGAAACAGGAGGTTAAACACCTCATTGATGTGAGTCTCTCCCTCTCACTCACACAACTCCCAGACTTTTCTCTGTTAAGTGTTTTTTAAACAATATGAAGTTTCTTGTATGTAAATATGCTCAAATGATTTCTACACTCTTTTGATTGTGCCCACAAATGCATCAACACGTTGCATTTGTGGGGCAGCGAGAACTTCCGGGTCATATCCGCTGTCTATAAAAGAAATTATAAAATCGAAACTGACCAGTCTTTATTCGTTTTTTCCTTCTTTTAGTGCACAAAATCTGAAATTGGAGAACAGTTCGTAATCCATTTTTTGTTTTGGTTCAAGAAACGAAAAACGACAAAACAATGTTTTTTTTTTTCCAAATGTGCTTTAGCATACCTCAAGCAGCTCTGTTTGTGATGTGGGTGGAGAAAAGGCTTCCTCTGCATCACTCTCCCATACAGCATCTCCTTGTGTAAAGTGTGCTGAATAGTTGAACGATGCACAGTGACTCCATCAGCAGCAAGATGATGTTGTAGGTCTTTGGTGCTGGTCTGTGGGTTGACTCTGACTGTTCTCATTATCCTTCACTTCTGTTTATTCCAGATTTCTCTTGGTCTGACACTTCAGCCTTGAACTGTGCCTGTGGTCCTCCATTTTCTCACGTTTCTCACAGTGGTGACTGAAAGCTGAAATCTCTGAGATAGCTTTCTGGATCCTTCCCCTAAACCTGAGGTCACTAATAGGTGGACCTCGGTCCGGATCCGGACCAAAATGATGTCTTATGCGGACCTGAACGCAATACATGATCAGCCCCTTTCATAAGTCAAATCGGCGCAATTGCGCACAGACCAGTCCGGCTTTAAGCCTCCCCGGGTCATTCATAAGACCACGGGTGAAGGCGGGCATGTCCCGCTCACATAAATGTTTACATAAATGAACCTGCWGCACCGATCCAAAAGAGGCATGGAGCAGAACTCAGCTGAGCTGAACTGGACCGCGACGTATTTTTTATGGGACAGAAGCCTGCTGCCTCGTATCAAACAAAACAACTGAATTAGCTCACTTTAGTGATTCTGTGGCGGTTAAATATTATTAAAATAATTATACGAAGTTGCTGTTTCATGTCATTTTTAATATTCCGTCCGTAAAATCTGTAGATTCCTCCGCCGCTGCTGCGTCGTAGGTGTGTGTAATAT